TTGAATTAGTCACAGTGTCACACACTAAACATATAATACAGTCGCGTTTGATTTAAAGACATTGTATTTCAGCGACTAGAGCAATGCGTGTATTGCTGGTTGCTGCTCTACAAATATTTTAAAAGTTTTTGTTTACAAAATCACTTAAAACTTAGACTAAGCAAAAAACATGCGACTGTTCTTCATTTGTTTTTGTTGCACTCGCGAAAAAATTTTGAATATGTGGCACTGTACTCATTGTAGGATGTCGTTGTTCTATGTGTCTTTTTAAATTGGTGATTGAAGATTTATAACAAATATTTTGCTTGCATATATTACAACAAGCTTTACTTTCATGCGTTGGTAAAAATAAATTCCACAGGAAAGATTTTCTTCGTTTATCCATGTCCAATTTTATTTGTAATAAAAGTTTATCAATAGTAACTTAGGACAAAATAACAGATAACGCTATATCAAATTCAAATAAATAATGCAAAAGCGAAATAACAAATTGAGGTAAATCTACGAAAGTTGGCACATGCTTCAAAAACAGCGCATGACGAAAGTATCCCTATTCCCTAACGCTAGCCGCTATTAAGCACGACAAGTGTCGATTTATGAACTTTGACGCGAAAATAAGGGAACATATTATCACGGTAGGAATGTATGCGCGCGCTACCAGGAGCTGTTCCGAAAAATCGCAGCTATTTGTCACTGCTCTGTTGCCGGAGCAGTAGCAGGTGTCACTGCTCCGCAAAATATGCAGTTTAGCCCATCTCTAATTGGAATGTAAATAATTGTGTGACGTCGTACTAGTTTTGCATTGTTTACTTACAAAAACTAATATTTATATAATATGTGTCAAAACGGTACCGCTGTTGTATCACTAGAATTATGAGTGGAAAGGTGACATTTTTGAAATTTATTTGCTTCTTTGATTCATTGGTAGAACTGACTCATACGTCAAAAAACTTGACAGTCTGTAGCAGTGTAAAACCACACTGTTTACCAATAAATTCGTGAATTAATTCATGAAGAACTTCGTCAATTTATTCATGAATAAATTGTCGATGTAAAACAGCTATAAGACATGGATAAGTCTACTTTCGAATACTATCAGAACCACGAATCTAAGTACAATTGCTAGGTAACGAGATTGGAAACGATAAAGGAAAAGTTTATAACTTAACTGATTGAAAAGGATTACTTGGAAAAATGACCAACATCTCCACTCCAACCGAATTTGTTTCAAAGTAGGTACATCTTTTAAATTGCAATTCGTTTTACTTGAATCGACAACGTGCTAAATCTAGTCTTTGAACAGATGTCTACCTTTATCATTAACGCGAAATTGCAATTTAAAATAACCGCACCTACACTTTGATAATAGAAACGGGAGCAAGATAAGCGTTTAGTCGCATCATCATTCTGTGTCGCTTGGGGTCAGATTCAATTACATTTAAACAATGTGCAAGGTTACATAACGCCCGTATAAAAGATTACACGCCGCTTGTTTATTATTCGGTCTGTTGAACTAGCGATTTTCTGTTTGAGGAATATAAACATTTTAATCAAACAACGATATCATAATTTGTTTTGTCTTTGATAGTGGATGAGGTGATGCAGAAGCCGGATGGTCTGCAACGTTTGATTTTGAAAAAATAAAAATAAAAATAGTCATGTTTACAAAATAGTCGGTATTAGTTTTTCTCGGCGGGGTAAACAAAGTTATTTGTAAAGAAAATAAACCATGAACAAACACAAAATAACACGCAGCAGCGTAAATAAACATGTAAAAATAGGCTCGTTCTAACGATATATTTATTCGTACTGTATATTCGTCCTTGCGGTAATAACCTTTCCAGAGGTTACTTTCCGCGGACTTTTTTCGACATTTCTAAATCGTTGAGTAACTTTAACATCCGTTATCATCAGCATAAGTATGCGTGGATGGATATGTGTGTACAGATTGATTAAATGTTTGAAATTAAATGTACCTACGACCACAGAGCTTTGTTTTTTCGTTTCTCTTAAAATTGTTTGAAAATGAACATAAATTTTAGTATAATCTATCTATTTACCTATCTATAAAAAATGTTTCATTCAAGAATACGATGAAACCTATTACAGCTCTCTCTTTAATAATTAATGTTAAAAATGGCGATACAGCTTATTTTTGGTCATTTTATTTTAAAACTCGTGATGCTAACGTAGCCCTATAAGTAAAAAGTACTATATTTTTTTAAGATCTGTATAGTGGAAGATCTAGGAGATCAAAAAAATTGTAAAGAATGTCAATGGTCAAAAACTAATAGTAACGCATTTGACACCTCAAAAAACTGATCTGTATCAAATTTCAATGCATTTCTGGAAAAGGTGGTTAAAATTTGATTTGAGTATCTCAAAAACAAAAGACGATAGGCCCGTGGTTGACAAACAATTACATTTTATAGGCCTATTTGATTTTACAGTCTAAAATTATTTCAGTTCTGTTTATTTGTAATTGCAAAGTGTTATACTTCGTCTTTTAAGGTATCCATAACCATTTTCACTACAAAAATCCGACATTTGATTAATAAAAATTTTATTTTTCGCGAATTACTTCTTTTTGACGAGTGAAACTAAGCAAGCTCCTTTCTTGCAGGGTATGGCTTTCACATTCGAAGAACGTCAGATTCTTGGTATCCATGGCCTCCTACCGCCTACGGTGAAGTCGCAAGACGAGCAACTTGATCATTGCAAAGCGAACCTCGACAGACTGGACGATAAACTCAACAAATATATTTATTTAACGGGACTTCTTGTGAGTATTGCAAACCGATTCAAAACTTGAGTGAAAATTAACCCCCATTATTTTGCTTTTAGGATCGCAATGAAAAGCTATTCTACAGCTTTGTACGTAAATATGTTAAGGAGATCATGCCTTTGGTCTATACTCCAGTAGTAGGTTTGGCTTGCCAGAATTTTGGTCTCATCTACAGACGCCCAAGGGGCTTATTTATCACGATTTATGATAAAGGACATGTTTACGATGTTCTGAAAAATTGGTAAGTTTTAATTTTAGTGTTTGTTTATTTTAAATCATCAAAATTGTCTTTCCAGGCCTGAAAGCGACGTCCGAGTCATTGTAGTGACTGATGGCGAGCGTATCCTTGGTCTTGGGGACCAAGGAGCGTGCGGTATGGGCATCCCCATCGGTAAACTGTCGCTATACACAGCCCTGGCGGGTATCAAGCCTCACCAATGCCTCCCTATCACCATTGACGTAGGGACCAATAACGAAAAACACTTGAAGGACCCCTTGTACATTGGCTTAAGACAGAACAGGGTCCGGGGCCAGGAATACGACGACTTAATAGACGAATTCATGCAAGCGGTAGTCACAAGATTCGGCCAGAATTGCCTCATCCAATTCGAGGACTTCGGGAATGCGAATGCTTTCCGTTTCCTGGAGAAATACCGCCACAGTTACTGCACATTCAACGACGACATCCAGGGCACCGCTAGCGTAGCCGTTTCTGGTCTTCTAGCTTCTCTCCGGATCACCAAGAAGAGACTATCTGATAACGTCCTGGTGTTCCAAGGAGCTGGCGAAGCCAATCTGGGCATAGCTCAACTGAGTGTGATGGCCATGATGGCTGAGGGAACTTCTGAAGCGGACGCTAGGTCTAAGATTTGGATGGTGGACTCTAAAGGTTTGATTGTTAAGGACAGACCGGAAGGTGGGATATCCGAAAATAAGGCTCTGTACGCGCACCCACACGCGCCTGTAAAAACTCTGACTGATGTGGTGAAGACCATCAAGCCGTCCATTCTGATCGGAGCGGCTGCGATCGGTGGCGCCTTTACTACGGAGATTTTGCAAGAGATGGCTAAGAATAACCCTCGACCTGTTATTTTCGCTTTGAGTAATCCTACGAATAAGGCAGAGTGCACCGCTGAGCAAGCCTACACAGTTACCAATGTAAGTTGATGGAAATGATACAGAAGGGAAAATATACAGTATTAAAAAAATGTAGGTCCAGCCGTTGACATACAAATATAAATTTTGCAAAGGTGAACAAGAAGTAAAAGATAAGTAGTACAAAAAGTCAAAAGAAACATTAAATATGTGAACTACAATAGTGTACATAAAAATAAGTTTGGGGGGTATTATAACCCTCCCTTTTTCCATTTGCACTTATTTTTCAACAAAATTCCATGCAAATGCAGCTTTTATTTCTCTATAGGCATTATAAAATTTCATGATATTCTCCAAATATAAGTTATCGAGAATTTTGCATTGCTAGCCTAAAAAAATGACTTTTACAAGATTGTATTAATTTTGTTCAAATAATATTGTTACTGGCCTAACATATACTCTCTTAAACCGATCAAAATAACTCATTTAGAGGGGAAAAAAAAAGAAAATTGTTACCTGGACATTTATAAGTGGAAATGGTAAAGGGGCTTATAATAAACGAAAAAAAAAAAAAAAATGCGTGAGCAGGGTCGGCGGAAGGTAGATTTGGGGGGTTGAAAAGTTATTAAAAATTGTATCATTGGGATTTCTGGCGAAAGTTGACGTCAAACAAAAAAGTATCTAATACAAAAGTTGTAGATCTTGCAAAAATCTACAACTTTTGTAGAAGTCATTTTTTAACATAACCTCAAAATTTCCGAGAAAAATGCGAAAAACAGGCTTTTTTCTGATTTTTTGTTTTTTATTTCTCATTTCCGCAAAAATAATTTCATTTTGATGAAACTTGGTGAAAGTATACCTTTCTCTGTCTTAAATAACCTCATTTTTTTAGATTAAAAAATCAAGAAGTTTCTGATATTCATTTTTTTCGGCCTGAAACACTTTTTTATCAAAGAAAAATTCTACTTAAAAAAATCATCGTACAGAGTTCTGCCGGTAATCATTTTTTTCGTTTTGACATATACTTTTTGGTGAAATAAAAAAATTTGTAATCACAGTTCAAAAACATGCTTAAAAATGCAAAACAGTAAAAAATGACTTGCAGCAATGAATTTTTTAATGTTTAAATTTAAATCCTGAGATAATTTATCATTTGTGCATTTGTAATTCGACTTAGATGTTTATAGTAATACTGTACAAAAATAAAGTTTTGGGTCAAACAATGATTTTTAAATTTTTTTCCGTAGAATTGAATGGTGTAATCAGTTTTTGAATGTTTTTAAATTTAAACAAATTATCAACAATAACTAAAAAATTCATTGTTGCAAGTCATTTTTTATTGTTTTTGCATTTTTGAGCATGTTTTTGAACTGTGATTACAGATTTTTTATTTCACCAAAAAGTGTATGTCAAAACGAAAAAAATGATTACCAGCAGAACTCTGTACGATGATTTTTTTAAGTAGAATTTTTCTTTTAAAAAGAAGTGTTTCAGGCCGAAAAAAATGAAAATCTCAGAAACTTCTTGATTTTTTTATCTAAAAATATTTGAGGTTATTTAAGACTGAGAAAGGTATATTTTCACCAAGTTTCGTCAAAATTAAATTATTTTTGCGGAAATGAGAAATAAAAAGGAAAAATCAGAAAAAAACTGTTTTTTCCATTTTTCTTGGAAATTTTCAGGTTATATTAAAAAGTGACCTCTACAAAAATTGTAGATTTTTGCATGATCTACAACTTTTGTATTGAATACATTTTTGTTTGACATCAACTTTCGCCAGAAATCCCAATAATACAATTTTTCGTAACTTTTCAACCCCCAAATCAACCCTCCGACGCCCCTGCTCAAGCATTTATTTTTTTTAGGTTTATTATAAGCCCTTTTACCATTTCCACTTATAAAAGTCCAGGTAACAATTTGTTTTTCTCGAAATGTAATTTGATTGGACTATCTTGCAGCCTTCTTTACACAAAGTATTCTATTACAGGGTACGGTTATTTTCGCAAGTGGCAGCCCCTTCGAGCCCGTGACAGTAAATGGAAAAACATTCCACCCCGGCCAAGGAAACAATTCTTACATTTTCCCAGGAGTCGGTCTAGGCGCTATTTGCGCGGGAATCCGAACTATCGGAGAGGATCACTTCCTCATCGCGGCAGAGGTAAAACTTTATTTCTTTAACGAAATTGTGGATGCACCTTAGAAATTTTTTCTAGGCTTTGAGTAACCTGGTGACCGAAGAAGATTTGGATCAAGGGAGCATATATCCACCTATATCTAAGATCATTGAATGCTCCATCAAGATCGCTACCAGACTCGTTGAATATTCTTACAAAAAAGGTAAATTTGGGTGACAATTTTATACAAAAAATGTAGTGAAAACAATTCCGATCCAATCCTAACATTTTTCCTGTTATTTTTATAGGCGACGCTACTATACACCCCGAACCAGAAGTAAAAGAGTCATTTATCCGTGCCCAGTTGTATAAAACTGAGTATGATCCCTCCCTTCCTACGATTTTCCCATATCCTGATCTGTAAATCCATGTGCAATGTATTTTTTATGATATATGTATATAAATAAATATGTTAGTTTTATCCACTTAACACACAAATACGTTAAGTTAGAACAAAGACGATTAAAAAGTCCATAATCATCCAACGCCAGTACCCAAACTTGTAGTTTTATTATAAATTGTAGACTAAACAAGTAGCCCAGTTACTGTAGCTGAAAATATAGTAATACCTCTGAATTTTTTATAACTGATTTGATTTTTCTCAAAATTTAGAATTAGGCTCATCTTCCCCCAACTTCAAAACTAATATATGCGCTAGGTGTACCTTTTGTTCCTAAGGGGTGAAAACCACCCCTTATTGGAAAAAAAAGAAAAAATACAAATTTCAGCATTTTATGTAATCAAATATTTTTTATTTGTGCAGTATGAGTAATTTCGTATGCTATCTAACATGAAACTTAATGTATCCCGAATTTTCAACCCAGAAAAACCTTTAAAAACCACCCCTTTGAATGAAAATAATATAAAAAATTTTTTTTCAACTTGAAATGTTTTAATCATGCATTTTTATCAAATTAAAATTGATTTCTTGACTAAAAAATCTTTTTTATCGATTGCAACTTTTCAACCCGTGAAAAATACCCCTTCTTTTGAAAATAAAATGAAAAAATATTATTGAAAGAGTAGAAACATTTTAAATGTGCATTCGTATTAAATAAACATTTATTCCCTTACTATAATATAGTATAGTACTGGTTTATTCAAATATACATGTGTATATTACTAAATAAGTATATACATTTCGCCACAAATAAGATCCACTTCTTATTTGTGGAAGGGCGAAATGGGCGGTGACTATTAGACGCCTTCATTATAGCCATCTTTCTCTATCGCACGGATTTCTATGACTTACTTTATTGCTCTCATGTAACGGCCGATCAACCATGGGGACTTTCCGATGTATATAAAAAAGATCTAAATGTTCAAAATTCTTGTTTTTTCCTAAAATTATCACCTATACACGTGTTTATTTTTTTGCCGATAACTTACTTTTTAAGGTTTTTAATCGCACAATGGCTCATTTTGCAGGGAATTGTAAGGGCTACGTGAACTATTGAGTTGATCTTTTTTAAGCCCTTCATTTTTAAGTTTGAAAGGCTTTAAAGGGCTCGAAAAGGGTGGTTCTCTCATTCATATGATAACTTAAAATGGCGATATCTCAATTAATATTAATTTTAGAGGAATAAAAAAATTAAGCAAAATCTTCACCAAAAATAAAGCAGTTTTTTTTACTCTTATATTTTTTTCGTACACCCTTTATTTTTTAAGTTTGAGTAAAAATCGATTTTTTTTCAAAAATTTGAAAAATTAACATTTTCAAAAATTAAGTTTTTTTCAAAATTATGCTTTGTAAGTGAGCCACAGACTGAGAACATATTCTTAGAACATAAATGAAGAAATCTGTAAATGGATTGCATTTAATTTTAATTCTGTCGCCAAAGACACTGATTTGTTTATTAATTTTTTCTTAAAAAAATGAGATTATCATGTTATTTCGATCATATTTCCGTTAATTTTTATTTTAAAGACTTTTAAAACAGCTCATTTTAAAGGTTTTTCAAAGTACTTTAAAAAAGGTTCAAATAGTTTTTTCCCTAATATTTATGGTTTTGGTGTTATTTAACGTTAACTAGTTCCAATTTAGTTTTTAGCTAACATATAATAATGTCTAAATATCCATACTCGGTTTACATTGCAATTAGAGAAAAAGAAAATAATGTCATTAGATTTGTTTTTTTATTACCTTTCTTTTTGTTCATTACAACTTTTTCGTTAAATCCAATGGTTTCAGAGTTATTTGCAAAAAACTGTCCGAAAACAAGCACTTTTTAAATAAAAAATCAACATTTTCAATGACGAATTACTCGGAAAGTATTGGATTATCCAAAAAACTTTATATAACATTTGTTACTTAAAATTGACTCCTCTATTGATCCCTGTGGTTATTTTGGGCGTAAAAATTTCCACCCCCAAGAAGGGATGGGAACCACCCCTAGGGCAAAAGCACACTACGGCACTATATAAGTTTTGTTCCTTGAGGCATTCCCCACATTCAGTCAAAATTTCACATCAATCGGTTTAGTTATAAAGAATTCGGACGTAAAAACCCTGAGTAACTGGACTAAAGTACTTTTATACCCATTTAGTTCAAATTTAGGCAAGTGCTGACACCCACATATATATATTTACTATTTCTTTTTAGGTAACGCTTCAGTCTATCCGGAACCCATCGATAAAGACGCGTTCATTAGGGCCCAAACGTACAACACAGACTACGAACCTGCTATACCCAGGATATATTCTATCCCTAAGCTATAACGTATTAAGATTCATGTCTAAATTAATTTATCATACTTGGAACAACTCACACACGATGTTCTATATGTTGTAAAATGTAAATATCCACACATCTCGATGGTGACTTAAGCAAACAATAAGGGTGTATGATGTAGGTAATTGCTAAAGGAGTTTTATCACTGTAATGTTATTTTTAATATATGACTTATTTATTTATAAATTTGTAATAGTTTATATGATTTTGTTTAGTTAAATTTTAATAAAACATTGAAAATCGTATTGTGTATTAAATTCACCCCAGAAAATTCGGCACACTAAGAATGACAAATTTTTTAATTTAAAAAATTTGACGTACCTAAATATTCTTATTCTTAATGCTTAAGGTTAAATTAAATATAAAAATATTGCGCGATATTGTCTAACGTAGATAAAAGTTTTTTTATTACTTATAAATTTGATGTATTACAAAAAATGACTGTTTTTACAAATGAATTGACTTTTACTGATAAAACTGTCAAGAGATTATGATAAAATAAGGATAACACGCCTATTTTAAGGAAGTGTTTGGGTGTAAGGAAACCGTTAGGCCATATTTAAATTTTTATTAACCAATCAGTGCTGAATCGAACAATATAATACAAAATTAAATATTTAAAAACAACCTCCGCAACATTATTGAACATTCCAAGACTAGATAGATTATTATAGGTATAAAATAGAACCATATTATGGTAAGATAGGGGTATTAGGGCTTAAATAACACACTTCCTCAGAGCAAAACAACATACGAGAAATTATCACAAAGGTAAAACGTAATGAAGATCTTTGATTTGATTAATTCATTCTTTACTGAATTACAACCACTGATATCTTCTTTACTTATTTAATGTTGTCTTCCTTGAGGTTTTAACAGATGAACCAAATTTTTGGCACACTTTAGTCAGTGATACTTAGACATTTTCTATGTTAAAAAAATAGTTTGCTGCCAAAGACAAGTCTTTTCAGTGTATTAATACGTATTGGTTAAAACTTTTAAACATTCACTAGAAAAATTAATTGACAATACGTTTTTACTTTTTCCAAGGTTTGGTTCAATAAGAAATGCCTTTGAAATGCAGTGTTCAACGGCGGAAAGATGTAAAAATTACATCTACCATATTAGTCATAAATAAATAAAAATATAAAGTTAATAGGTTAAAGACATTACTAATTTGATATAATTGGGATACATTTTCGGTAAGACTAAATTACTGAAAAGGTACTATCCATATTTAGCTTAAAAGGCATTTGGCTAAAAAATTTGGTTCATTACCTATTGGTAATATTTTTTTAAGGAGAAATAATAGTTTTCTACATTTCGCACTAGACTAATGAAAATAATCATTTATAAATATGTACTTCGTTTAAAAAATTGCAAATCGAATCCTCAAGTCAACAAATTGAAAATTCTCTTTATGATGTCTATTCTGTATCATGACGAATAATTAAAAAATAATAAAGTGAGTAATGTTTCGGGATATTAAGGGTTACTTCACCGATTCTAAAATATTTACAGCACTTATTTGCAATAAATTAAATTGTGTTTAGAAAATTAGAGCCACTCACTATTTGATTATCTTTTCTCTCTGTTGCGTATAGCATTAATAAAATAATCGTTACTTTCGTAATTATTAACTGATGATAAAAAGAAGTACAAACTACTTCAAGCTGTATTTAAATACTTACATTTATTCTACAAAAAATGATATGCAAGCAGAAAGAAAAAGTAACAAATGCTCTGGCGTGTCTAGATTGTTCAAGTGTAAATTCTTTAATATAAAAGAATTATAAGCCTACAGCAAATTGATGTTTGTACTAATAACACTTTAAATACTATCACATAAATGTGTGAAATTCCTTTCTTCCTCGTAACTATTCTCCCCATTACATATTTATAACTTTCATTTAACCAATTTCTAAAAATAATCTCTAAAAAAATCAGTACTTATATGTATTATAAAAGTGAAATCTACATCCATCTCTATTATATTTTAAACGACTTATACATAATGTATGTACATACCTTATTTATAGTTATTTATATAATTGCACCACTTCCCCGACTCGGTCTAGCAACAGGACGATTTGGCAGGCTCTGCTTCTACTAAATTAAAGTCTAACCCGTTAGGTCGAGCAAATCCAGTTTTAATGCCATCCCAGCCATCTTCTACTTTGTATTCCCCAGTCTGAATCCTATTGTAGACCTCTTGTGTCACAGATCGAAAAGCTTCCTCTACATTCATACCATTCTTTGCAGAAGTCTCGACATGGAACAGTCCGTGTTGGTCAGCAAAGGCTTTCGCTTCCTCCCTAGAGACTTCTCTTTGCCCACCATTACTCACTAAGTCTAACTTACAGCCTACTAGAGCAAATACAGGCCTGTGAGGTTCGATATGCCTTCTGGCCTCTGACATCCAGAGAGGTATGTGTTCAAAGCTAGCGCGATTGCAGATATCATATACTAGAAGAGCACCGACAGAGTTTCTATAGTAAGATTTGGTTATGGAACGAAACCTTTCCTGTCCTGCTGTGTCCCATAGCTGCAGTTTTATTCGAGTGCCGTCTTTAACTTCTATTAGCCTAGCGAAGAAATCTACTCCGACAGTGGGATCTGATAACTGAAAATAAAAGTCAAATTAAACTTCGTACTTAGTACTTTTTATAAATAAACCATGGATGACGAATCCTTACCTCAGCGAATTTTCCATCAGTGAAGTATTTCAACAAAGAACTTTTTCCCACTGTGCTGTCGCCAATTAAAATTAATCGAAATTGGTAATCGAAAATAGGTTCTACCATTTTAAAACATTACTTTTCACGTTTTACCCTGATTCCTTGTTATTTAATGTACTACACTTCGTTTATTTGTAATTATTTGACATTCACAATCACAAGCATTCTCAAGTGACAGGTGCCAAGGTAGCAAGTACATTAGGAAACTGTAAAGTTTAAATGTCGCTGTGTTCACAAAAATATTATTTTTCCTGCTATTGCATTACAATATAAAGATAATACAACTTTAGAATTAACTTTGTATTTAAAAGAAACATAATTGTTAAAATTCAAATTTAAAAAAGAAAAATATTATTTTCTATTATTTTTTCACAAAATCAACAGATGGCAGCAAGAGTCAATAAAAATTTGCACTGCGAAAAATATGCTAAAATGGTTTGTTTAAGATTTAAGAATTTAACAGTATAATAATGTATCCTTAAATTTATAAATTAGATGCTGAAGTTTCCAGTAATAATGAAGAACATAGCAAGATGTAGATAAAGAAGAAAACTTGGATAGAAAATTGCTAACGCGTGCGCGGATATTTTAAACGGGGTAAATGGAAGAATGGGGTAATTTTGAAGGGTGCCCCGCCCTTCTATATGTCACTGCAGATGTAGCATTTTAAATTTTTTAATGAATAATGGGAGATGCTGTTGATTTTTGTGATAAAATAGGAATCAATCTCTCAGAGCTGGGAAAATGGTAAACATTTTTATTCACCTCTAGTACAATTTTCTTTATTGTTATATATTTTCAGGCATGTCTGGCAAAACATTATACTGGGGCAGTTCCTTTCTCTCGTTCTATGTGCTTTAAACACCCTGTCTCATTACATAAATACAACCACCACCAGTGTTTTGCCAACAGGGCAATCTTTCCCTCACTACATGTTCCTGTGTGCGATATACACAAGTTGGTTGGCCTTCCGCAGGGGTGACAAAGGCCTGATATCGATAATAAAAGCTAGAGGGTGGCGCTATTTACTACTTTGCTTAATAGATGTTCAAGCTAATACCCTTTTAAGCACTGCCCATCAATTTACAACTCTAACAAGCATCCAGGTTAGCGCTTGCTTATATTCGATCGAACTTTAATTTTATTTTGATGGCTTTCAGCTGCTCGGTTGTGTGGCCATCCCCGTAGCGTTGGCATTGAGCTGCCTGGTGCTTGGTGTGCGCTACCGCATGGTGCATATTATCGCTGTCTCTGTATGCCTCATGGGGGTCGGGTGTCTCGTGTGGGCTAACATTGAAGACACCAAGATTGATGGTACATAGGTTTCTGCCATTCTGTCATAGCGGACACTGCATGTTTTAGTTAAACAAAAACAATACGCAAAATATTCACATATTGCTTTCCGTTTTCTTTCGTAACACAATATCGTTTATTTTTAGCCGTAAGATACTACAGGGACTTAAACTGAGGTGGTAATTTTTCTTGTTTTAATGTAACGAACGATTTTTTGGAGAACGATTTTAAAGGGACTCATGTTTTAGGTAAAAATCAGCTAGTAGGAGATATGCTGTGCCTAGGAGGGGCAGTACTGTTTGCTATCGTGACTGTTTTACAGGAATTGTCAGTTAAAAATACCGACATCGTTGAATATTTAGGTTTGTTAGGACTGTTCGGCAGCATAGTAAGTGGCGTACAGATGTAAGTGTTTTGGTATCAGAGTTTACGAGTTGAACCGATATTTGCCGTTTTTCAGGTTGCTCTTGGAGAAGCAGACGTTAATTACGTCAACTTGGAGGAATTCTAGCGCCCTGTTGTCTTCGTTCTCGGCATGTCAATTCATGTTTTGCACCTTCTCCTCCGTGTTTTTGTTGAATATGGGCACGACAGCCTTACATTTGTCCTTGTTATCGGGGAATTTTTATACACTAATCGTAGGAATACTTCTTTTTAATTACAAGGTAGGTATGGAAGAATTTCCAGTGAAATATAACCAACAACTTATTTTTCCAGTTCCACGCCTTATATTTTCTATCCTATACACTCTCGATGACCGGCGTTTATATTTACGCCATAAAGCAGACCCCTGTGGCTCCACAAAACCTGCCGTCGCACCACATCAGCGAAATGAACAATTCTAGGGGGTGAGTGCTAATTTCAATTATCCGAAACGTTTTACCGGTTTTCTTACTAAACTCGTGTCTATTATCGTACACTAGGAGGAAAATTTTTTTTTCTAGATCCGAATGTCAGTTGCCCGAACATATGATAACCGACAGCCCCGAACGCACAAATCACGAGATCCTCTCCGCTTTTGGAACCCTAAACAGCAACGATACTTTCCCCTTGAGCCACAGTACAAACACCACGTTCACCTCCTTTTATGGCAGCCACGACGTACTCAATAGTCAGACCACTAGCGCCTAATACCCTTCGTAGATGTTTAATAGAAGCACACCACCGACAAATATATAAGAGATTAATGCCGCACAAAGTCATGAGTGTTTCGTGTAATATTGTTGATAATCGATTATTGAAAAATCCGGTTTGAAGGACCAAATAATTAAAATTACTTCTCACTTTTGGCGAAATTTGGCTTAAAGTACTAAAATAATAATTGTGCTTTTAAGACATAATACAATCGTCTGGTCTTGTGGAATTTCAGTAAGAAAAAGATTCCCATGCAATTATTTTAAATGTAATCTTCGATTCGACTCTTATGTATTTGTTGTGTCAGTTACTGATCGAAACGTGACTGTATTTTTAAGGCCTACGAATTTATCGCAACGATCACCTTTTCTACCTTCATATTTTTCTCTAACAAAAAAAAGTGCAATAACTTTTGTAATTTTAAACGTTTTATTATGATCTCAACTAACGGATACGTTACTGTTATAACATTGTAATATTTTAATCTAGATCTTAATATAAAACTGTAAATATATATATACCCAAACTTTTCTTTAACGCAGTTATTTTTTTTTAAATGATAATTAAAATAAAGACTGGAGAAAGAGTTTTAACTGTACCAAATAGAAAAGCTTTGCATCAAATATTTCCAAATTCAGTAAACGAAAAATATTTACAACCCTCGTAATGTTCGTAAATCGTAAGAAAACCTATTTGCAACAGCCTTTTTGCTAAATATTTCACCTCTATTCACTCTCATTTCCGCTATGTTTAGGAGAACCTTTTTCGCTGCCCGATCTAGACGCTGATCTGCTTCTGGACCTCGAAGGAGACTTAGACCTGCTTTTAGACCTTGACTTCGATTTAGACCTACTCCTAGACCTTGACTTCGATTTGGACCTACTTTTAGACCTCGACTTCGATTTAGACCTACTTCTAGACCTCGACTTCGATTTAGACCTACTTCTAGACCTTGACTTCGATTTGGACCTACTAGACCTCGACTTCGATTTAGACCTACTTCTAGACCTTGACTTCGATTTAGACCTACTCCTAGACCTTGACTTCGACTTGGATCTACTCCTAGACCTAGACTTTGATTTCGATCGACTCCTAGACTTTGATTTAGACTTGCTTCTTGATCTCGAAACGCTTCTGGACCTTGACTTTGAATGACTTCTTGATCTCGATTTTGATCTAGAACCACTTCTAGACCTAGACTTGGATCTGGACTTAGACCTTGATCCGCTTTTTGAACGGGACCTTGAACGGCTTCCAGATTTAGACCTAAAATGAATTTTTCATGTTAGTATGTAAATAACAACGCAAATTTGTAAATATACCTGGATTTAGACCTTGATCTGGATCGGGAACCACTTTTAGATCGTGACTTGCTCTTAGACCTGGACCTCGATCTAGACCCACTTTTCGATCTAGATCTAGACCTCGACTTAGACCGACTCCTAGACCTAGAAGAGTCCGATCCGGAAGAGATCCTCCTCTTCTTCTTTCCACTTTCGTTTTCATCGCCGCTCGCAATCTTGAGTCGGTCGTCGTCGCTCTCGTCTTCGCTGGTGGATATCGTGGCTTTAGACACGATCCTGCTCTTCTGTTTAGCACTGAGTCCGTCGTCTCTGTCTTTCTTGCTTTTCGGCTCCTTGATCTTCCTCCGCCTGCCAAATTCGTTCTTTTCCCTACGTTTGCGTCCGCCGGACTTCTTCTTGCGGTCGCCGCTGCGTTTCCTTTTCCTGCCCCTCTCATTCTTCTCTCTGGATTCTCCTTCTCGATTTGGAACGTCGTCGCTGTCCGAGTCGGATATGTACTGCGCTTCCCTGCGACCCTTCATCTTCTTCGATGGTTGTGGGGCCTCCAGGAATAGCAGGGCGTTCTTTGTCTTCTCCTTGTATTCTTGACGTTTCTGTAGCATCTGCTCGTGTGATACACGTTTCTCCTCCTCCAATTTTTTCTGGAAAAACATAATTAAGCCTAACACGGCACAAGCGTCAGGAATAACTTACGAGTTCCTCCAACTGGCGCATCTTGAAAGCGGTACGTTCCTCGTCTTGTTTCCTCCTAAGCAGTCGCTCTTCCTCGTCCACTCTCCTAGCTCTGGCGACGTGGTATTGGGCCTGGGAGAGTAAATCCTTGCATTGTCTCGCTTCCATACCGGCCAACGTAACGTCGTAACGCATTTTGTCGCCGAACTCCGCCAGGTACGTAAAATATCTAGAAAACGATTTGATTAGTTCTTAGTTTGAGAATACGGATTGGTCGTACTTCAAAGACAGGCCTAATTCGTGTACGGCCTGCAGTACCGTCTGAAGCGTGGATTTTTCGTCTTTCAAGATGAAGGTTGCGAGTCGCTGCAAGACCAAAGAGATGTTGTACAGCAAGACGGTGTCTTGCGGCGCTACTCTTCGGGCTTTCAGCAACACCATCTTACTTTCCTTAAGTTTTCCGGCCTTGTAATACGCCCTAGCCAAATACTGGAGCACCTCGACGTTGTTGTACTTGTAGAACTTCCTCAAACAGTTCTCGTACTAAAAAAATTTTCGTTATAATTCAAACGAGTAGTAAAGACGTACATTAACGTTTACCATTTGAATCGCGCTGACAAACTGCTTCTGTTCCACGTAGACGTGGGCGATATTCAACCAAACGTCGCAGAAATCCGCAGTGGCCTCACGGACCTGGGCGAAAATATCCCTGGCCTCGTTCACCGCCCCCTTGTGGGCTAGGACGGCACCTATGCCGTTCGCCGCCCAGATGTTCTTGGGGTCGATTTTAAGCACCTGCTTGAACATCGACAGCGCGCGCTCCTGGTGGCGTTTCTCTCTCTCCTTGTCTTTGGTGGGTTGGTGGAGAGTCTGCAGCCAGACGTTGCCCAACGCTATGAGGGAGTAAGAATCCTGGGACGTAGCCGGGTTTTTCAAGATCCTCTCGTACTTCTTCTGTCCCGGTCCCCACTCGGCTTTGGCCAAGTGGAGGTTTCCCAGCAGCGACCAGGCGTCGGGATGCTCGGTGTTTATCCTGAGGGCCTCCTTAAACCAATCGGAGGCTTCGTAAATGTGTCCCTTGTCCCTTGCCATGCATCCCAATCTCAGATAGCAGTCGACATAGTTAGGGTGTTCCTTCAGGATGTCCTTGTACAATTTCTCGGATTTGTCGAAGAGACAAAGAGCTTCGTTCAATCGGGCCAAGTTGTAAGTGATGGTTACAGAGATCGAGTTGTAGTACTGGGGGTCGTGCTCCGCTTCCACCTTGGCTCGCACCAGGGCCTCTTCTAAGTTCTTATTTGCTTCATCGAGGTTGCTCAACCTAGGAGGGAACTTTATGTGTCGTAGCGGTTTCAAATTTAAAAGTGACTTACCTGTAGTGTAACGCTCCTACATTATTAAGTATTTCTGTGGGTATCTCAGCTTGAACGTCCTTCTTTAGAATTTGAATTGCTGTTCCGTAAGCGTTCAGGGAGCCTTGTAAGTCGGATTGTTCCAAAATTTGCGCTAGCTCGATCCAAGCCTCGATATCGTCGGGGAACTGCTCCGTTACCTTCTTCAGGTGGTTCTTCGCGATATCTCTCTTGGATTGTGAAGTAGAATTGGCATAAAGAGATCCCAGAATCTTCATGGTCTCGTAGTTGCCCGGTTGGGCTTTCAACACTTTTTCAAAGCACTGCGCAGCCTGAAATATATTTTTTATTACACAAATCTGAAAATACAAGCACTGTACATACATTTTCGGTATCCCCTCTGTATATATACATCTGTCCTAGTCCGAAATGAGGCAAAACGAACGCAGCCGGAGCAAACTGAGTAGCTTGGTAGTAATATTGGAAAGCTTGGTCATAATCGCCTTGAACGTGAAATGCTCTAGCCAACTGGTAACAACTTTCTGCTCGCATCGCTTCATTTTCCGTATTATGGAAAGCGTGCAGTGCTAAATGTTGAACTTTATTGTAATCCTGAAATACCGTGTTTTCGTAAGTTTAATTTTATTTCACAATTGGTTATGTGCTCGAGGATAGCATAGCGTTGTTTTCACGTCCGAATTTGAGAAAACATATTGACATTCTTACCTTTTTGAAGAAAAAGTGATTAGCCAGATGGTTCAAAACCATGGGGTTCGAGGAATCTATAGTGTAAGCCTTGGACAACATTTGAACACCAGTTCGGATCGACTCTGGTTGTTGCAGATTTAATTTTAATATGGCTAGACCCACTAATGCTCCCACACATTTGGGATCAAGTTGTAAAGCTCTCTCAAAAGCAAGTCTAGCTTTGTCTTGATTGTTCAGCTTCATAAAGCAGTGCCCCATACCTATAATTTACAATGAATACAATACCGAGAAATTTAAGAATAAAATACACTTACCCAATCTGACTGCAGCTGGGCAATTAGGATTTGTCCTCAGTGCCTTTTTGTAGAAAGCCAAAGCACCTCGGAAATCCTTTTTATTATACGCAATGCACGCTTTACCAAGTAATGAAGGGATATTGTTGGGAGACTGATTCAAAACAAAATTGAACTGTGCATCTGCTTGTTCCATTTTGTCGCCCTCAAGCAGGCAAAAATAAGCCCTACCCAACAAGTGGTTCTACAACAATTTTCATTAATACAGTTGCGTTAAATTATTTCAAAAAAATTTACCTGGTCGTACATGATAATCTTATCTGCGGTGGTATATAAAAGAGTCGCCTTTGTAAACAGTTCTCGTTTTTTATCCTTATTTTTCTCCCGATTCGCTTCCTGCACGTAATATGCAGCAAGCATATCGAGTGCTCGCATTTGATCTTTTTCATAGTCCCTGTAGTCCACATTTGCATCGGTACGAGAAGCCTCTAATATTTTCAGGAAGTCATCTATCTTGACTTGCTTGTAGTATTCCAGCTGTTGATAATTTTTTATATTTTAAAAGCGTGTTATTCAACCGTGGGAGCTGTGCTTACCGCAAGGTTGACCCAAATGGACAGTTGGGTGTTTTCCTGGCGCAAGATACCAAGAACTTCATCTCCATCAGGCAGTTGGTCAGAGTAAAGCTCAATTACCTAAAAGTTTACAATAAGATGCCATTCTTAGATCTATTATAATTCACTAACCTCATCCGTATCCCGCAAAGGGATTTCGATGGACGCCGCCATCCTCGATGTTTAAGTCGCACTTTTTCAGGAAGACTTTACAACCATCTTTACAACCGTCACTGCACTGTAACAAAACCACACAAAACTACACAATTTTTTTGCGTAATTAAACTTAACCCAAAATCACTGAAATCGTTACCAACATCAACTTTTAACGCCAGTAACGCCATTGCTACCAACATAACTACTACAAATTAAGTAGGCTCAATGATTACCTCCTAGTCGTAGTAGTTCAAATGTTATCATGTTTGGTGGTAGTATAAGAATCGATACTTTTATTAATTTTTCATATTTATTTAGGAACGAAATAAAAATTTGTAAGAAGTGCGGTTACAGGTGCTTGAATGTGAATAGAAGAACCTTGTTAATTAGTATTTGCTCTACTCTATGTCAGTTATGGTGCAAACTTTAGAAAAAGGTAGGTAATAATTTTTTTAAATTTTATTGAAAGCGTAAATGACTTGTACCTATATTAAAAAGACAGAGACAAAAATTTCTATACAGTTTAAAATGTTACACAAAATATGAATGACTTTCATTTAACTGAATTCATGTTCAAAAAATACTTGGCTAGATTAACAAGTAATTTTTCACAAATCGGGAAACGACATAAAAACTTTTTTTGTCCGCTCTGTATGCATCCACTCGAATCAGGAACCTGCATGAAAACAATTCTAGTGTAATTTCCGGCAATCCACCTATTGTTTTTTCTTTTTCAGTTACGACGGGCATTATAGATGCGTCGGGACGTTGAGACGAGCGTAATAAGAGAAGGGGAGAGTCATCGGCGCTCCACAATAGAGGGTGAGCGTCCCCGTCGGCGTCGCAGTCCGCGCCGAACACGCGTTCTTTAAACTTCCAACTCACGGAGTTGAAGTGTGCTTCATTTATCGCCGAGAGTGTTTTGTTTCGGCAAATTAATTGGGCAGGCCGTGGATGGGTATAGTCGGTCGTTTGATTTCATCAGATAGGTGGCTGGTGCGGCGGAGTTGTTTGGGTTTTCGCGGTTCGTAAACATTGTCGGAGTTGGAAGAAACTTTTTCGGAGAGAAGTTACCGATGTTGCCGTTCAGATTTGTTGTCGTTTTTACAGGTGAGCTTCTCTGATAACATTTCTATAACTAATAGCTAATTTATGATTATGACATTTAACGTTAATACTCGTTTGTGATGAATGTAAAGCAGATTTCGTAATCGTTTTTCTAATGAGCTCTATTATTTTTTGTAAATACATAGTTTGAGATGAGAAAGTAATAGATATTTTCATAAAGTTTTAAAAATTAATGGTTATGATGGGCTTTTATTAACAAGAACGAACTTTTCGAAAGAAAATTTATTATACATGAGAATATTGCTACGATATGTTATTTTCGTGGCATTTTTCGTGATTTTATAATCCAATAATAGTACGGGCAGAACACTATTTGTAATTCCTCAAGGTTCATATTTAAGCCATTCTGTTACACAATTTAACTTAATGCTTGGTCAAACTTTAGCGGACTGTACATTACAAATTAACAAAAAAAGTTCATATAAACCGAAAAACCTCTTTTTTAATTGCGCTGTTGAAAACGTTGCATACAATTATTCCAAGCTTGGGCATTAACTTAACCCGCAGTTACTGAATTTCTAAACAATAACTGATGTGTTGCTTTACGAACAATTCATTTGGTTCAACACAATGTGTCATGACAGGTATACCAGGTATCGATTATTAATTTTTCAAATGCAGTGGGCTATCGGTAGCAATATTGTTCTTTATTGACAAGAAAATTCCATATTTATTATATTTTGCTGTCGACATGCACGCACATTATCGAAATATCGATTCGATTAAATATTAATGAAACCAACCGAGATGGTTACTGACAGGGTCATTTCTGTTATGGCGATGAAATATGTGGTTTCGGGTCGCTTTATGATTAAAATTTATTACAGTTGTTAGCAAAGTATTGTTCTGTTGGTTCGAAATTAATTCGGGTTCATCACTGTTTGGAAATTGTAAGAAATCATTTAATTAATGTATATATCTTTTTTTACACAGGAAAAGTAATTACTACTTCTATTTTGGTGAGCTCGCTAGTAGTTGTAGTAAAAAATGTGCGTATATACGATTTTTTTTCGACTTTAAAGCGATACTTCCTTAATTAGTTTAAAACTGGCTTCGCGCCGTTACCCAAGCGTTTCGTTTGTGAATATGACGAGTGAATAGAAGCGAGCAATGTGTGCACATCCCCTGAGACACTTGCCAAAGTTTGAATTAAATCTCGGTTTGATATAAGAAAGTTCTGTTCCTGAAATATGTTTGTTCGGATAACTCTCGCTAAATCCTGACGGTATCGATTTGAAAGGGATTATAAGATTTTCCAGATTTCATATACAAAAATAAAATGTGTAACAACGCGTCTGCATTTTAATATATAAATGCAAGTAGATATGTTCTGTTTGCTGAAAGCATCCAGAGATTCATAGGTAGGTGCAGTCAGTTCAGTTTATTCAAATCTTTCTATGAGATTTGCTGATATTGACTCTGCTGCAAGACTTCAAATGGATATTTCTACACACATACACACCAAATCCAAAGCTAGTAATATTGATATTCATATAACTCAGCGTTAAAGAAAGTGTTTACTATATCTTTCATTTTGAAATATTCCTTTAACACGTATACATTTCGAATCTTTCTTTTTCTAAAGCCTGGCACATATCAGAGCACGAACGTGTAATTTGATGGTATTTGATTTACCATGTATTACATTTTGTATTTTTTAGTTGAATATATTGGATAGTCAGCATAGTTTTACCAATTACTCCATATGTAATGAGATTATAGTCATTTTTTTCTTTTGTTATAAGAGAATGAGATAACTGCCTACTGAGTTGAAAAAAAAAACTTCGAAAAGGTGTCGCCTTAATTTTTGAGATGGACTAATACGGTATAACGTTCCATTCTCTTCACATCATTTTGAAAAAACATATGCTAATTTGTTATTTTAGCCAAATTTAATTAATTCAAAGATTCATTTGAACTTCCTGTTTATCTTACACGGTTTTAAGTGACTAGTTTTTATTACTGACTTCGTTCTTCATTGACCTTCATTGCTCTTTTAGAATGTGCTTTCATTTCCTCGAAATGGTTCTTATCAGAAGGCTATCCAAGTAATTTTGTCAAGTGCTATTGTCTGTTTAACGTTGAAACCTTGAAATATCGACTAAATATTTCACTGAACAAATGATTGAAGATGAAAGATATTGATCAAAATTATCTCCTTCTTGGTCAATATACTTACTTAGAACAAATTTTCAGTGTAGCATTTCACAATAAAATTATGTGTTAGTTGCCCCTTAGTAGTGGCCAGTTGGGATTGTTAAATCAATGCAAAAATATAAGAAATACCGTAGTTTTTATAATTTTCATGATAAACATATCTAAAATCATATTTTTATTACGTAATTACTATCAAAGATCAGTAAATTTCAATCACGTGCCTGTTGTATGAGTTGGAATAGGTAAATGTTGGGTGTTTATTGTAACAAGTTACAATCAACGTATGTACTTAAAGTTATTGATAAATATCCATTTTTTTCAGTATTTAGGTGTTGTTAACTTATTTATTTACTAATAGTGTATGCTGTTTCGTTGAAAAAAAAAACTTTTGAGTAGGGTATTATTGTACACTTTTTGCAATGTTACAATTAGACTTTACGAGTTACAATCGACAAGGATCTAGTGTCGATTGCAACAAATGACAACACTATTCATTTTGTAAAAATTTGTATTTAATTTAGTTAAAACAACGTTAAATTTAGATTTGGTAAGCATCATGTCTGACAGAATTTATAAGAAAATACTTCGAACACTTGGACTTCAAGGTAATGCTATAAAATTTGTTACAATCGACAGCAGTATCGATACAATTTTCAAATGATTATAAATATCCCTAGAAATTGTGCAGTTGTGCTGGTGTCATTTGTAACAAACGACAACACTGTTTATTTTTTTATTTTTATATCGTTTAACTAACTCAAAATCAAATTTACAATTGGTAATCATATACGCCTGTCTGACAGAATTCACAAGAAAACACATCCAAGATAATTACTGGAAATTTTGTTACTTTATTAAATGGTGTTCAAATTGATATAATTTACAAACTGAAAAAAAAAACGTGGGCTTAACTTTTGGCGGCACAATATGATAAAAAAATTCGAAAAATGTCATATTTTTCTTCCTATTTAATTACGTATCTTTTCAAGAGTTGATTTTAGGCGAAAATGGAAGAGGAAATAAATGTTTGCAATTAAATTTTTTACAAAATATGTCTAGTTACAAATCGAATGAATCATGATTATTATGGTAAAAATCGAAAAAATCGCAAAAATGGGGTTAAAAAACAATACATTTTAGGGAATTTTTTTGGGGTATTTAAATTGGGTATAGGACCTTTATACTTGGCTCAAAAAAACTTCATGTTATTTAGAATTATCACACCAAATTTCATCAAAATCGGTTCTACAGATTTTGCATAATAATTTTGAAATCCAGATTTTGAAAAAAAATTTGCAAATTTTCAAAATTTTGCACAGCAAAAACCAAGGCCCTTAGATACTTGAAAATTAAAACAGGTTTTAAAAATTCTTGGAAAGAGAGTAGAGAGCGCGGTCGCTTCGGCCTGCTCGAAATTGAATCGGCTATAACTACGTAACTAATTGATCAATCGTTCTGTTTTTTTTAAAAGAAGCGTATTTCCAAAAACTTTTAAAACTTGCTTTAAAAAATTTGATTTGATTGAATATTCACAAAGTTCTAATTGTTTATAAGTACAAACATTCGACCAATATTTAAACAAGCGCCAGAGCTCTCCTAATTGACGGATTCGAATTTTTTAAAAAAAGTTTGAAAGCTTGAGAGCCTTTCTATATGTGACTAAATTTTCAAGTATCTAAGGGCCTTGGTTTTTGCTGTGCAAAAATTTGAAAATTTGCAATTTTTTTTCAAAATCTGGATTGCAAAATTATTTGGTGTGATAATTCTACATAACATGAAGTTTTTTTGAGCTAAGTATAAAGGTCCTATACTCAATTTAAATACCCCAAAAAAATCC